ACATAAAAAAAAAAAAAAAAAAAAAAAAAAAAAAAAAAAAAAAAAATCCTGTTGCTTTTCATCTCTTGACTATGGAGTAAGAAAGTTCAAACATTAGGAGTTCTAGAACCAGAAAGGAGCACAGAGATCATTCCACTGGTGGTTCTCCAAAGAGAAGTACAACAGGATCCTTTGTAATTCAGGTGGTGGGTTTCACCCCAGCCCCTGGGCAGTTTGGAGAAGGAGCTCTGGGTAGGATCCCCACAGTTGCATTTTGTGTTTGAAGAAGTTAAAATCCCAAAATAAAGCTGCTCTCTCGAATTGTTCTCTAATGAACAATAAGTCAGGACTATATCCAGATGTCCTCTGAATACCAGCAATCACCACTTTCCCAAGTAGGGTAAATCTGGGGACTTGCACTTTTCTTTCTCCAAGAATGAAAGGCAGTGCATCTTCCAGAAGGGACCCTCTCTACTTTTCATAATTCCTGAAGTTCTGTAAAAAATATGTGTCAGGATTGCTTGTTTTCTTGCCTTTTTGTTTTAGATAAAAGACTTCTGGACATTGGATAATTCATTTCTTAGTCACAGAAGAAACGGACTGAGTCTTGATTAGTTCGTGTTTATCTTTTCGTTGGCCTGTATTTCCAAAAGTGCTTCAGAAGACCATATGCAATGACAGGGGTGGTTTTCCCTGTAGAAGATATTTTCAGGAAGCCAAAAGCTTGCCCTCCTTGTTTGCCGTTAGCAGTTCCTGTACTTTTGTCCTTGATTCCCAAAGTTTGATGAAAAAACGCAAGCCAATGCAAATCCGATGATTAGCACTCTTACATTTGGAAACTCTTTAAAAGCTAAGAGAAAAAGGTGTTGATTTTAAATGTTTTTGTCACCATTATAAATTATATGACCCCCGAACACTCATAGTGCATACTAGAAAAAACAGAGAAAAACAGATTGTGAGCAATTTTAACAGATAAGTAATTTCTTAGAACCTAGCTAAGGTTCTTAAGCCTAGTGAAGGAACTATGTGCTTTATATAAAAATGTCACAGAAATACAAAGTTTTCTTATAATGTGAGGTCAGGTTGAAGACTCAGCTAGAACTTAGATTAGTAAGTTTTGCCTCTGTTTCTGCTGTGCCTCCTGGAGATCAGTTGTCAACATCTATACAAAGAAGTGACTGTTAGCATCATGTTGATTAGTAAGAGATACTTTTATTCTCTTTCCAAACTGTATCACAAAAATAGATTTAATGGTTTCTTACAGTGCAATATTTTCATTTTTTAGGTAAGTTTGACTCTTACAAATTCCCTGAGAAGAGCTGAAAAAGTGTCTGTTTGATTCAGACACCTGCCTAGTCTTGCTTTTAGTTAACAAGTCCCTACTCTGCACCCTCCTTAGTATCATTGGCTCATTTCAGAATTTTGCCTTCTCGGACTCTCCTTCCACCACATGGTGATTTCAGGGTTAAGGCCTATGGCATCCTACAGTTGAATACTTGGAGAGCACTAGCACTTTGGAGTTGTAACCGTCTAATGCTTTGTGTCAATGCTCCTGGAGGTCTTTGGCTTAGCAGCAGAGGATACAGCGAGACATTTAAAGCACTGCTGTCAGCAGTGTTTGTGTGTACCATGGAAGGGCTAGAAAGGGCAAGTCCGTAGCATCCCTTGGCTCTCCGATTCAATGTTGGCTCCTTTTCACTGTCTATTAAGAAATGAGACTTTCCCTAACTCTTGTGGGCAGGTGGAACCCTCCATTGCTAGATCATTCAACTCCTACTATTTAAGGACCATCAATATACTCCCCTTCAAATAGGACAGGTCATTTCTACCACATAGTTGTGTTCGCTAAAATTGGCTTAGAAATGAAGGTAGAGAGAATGCTGTATTCTTATGTGTAACAATGACTTGTATTGGGTTTCCCTAAAGTATCTGCTCTATTTAAAATAAATGGGAAAACAAACAAACAAAAAAAACCATCTTTCAATAATGAACCAACTGGTTTTGTGTTCATGTTAGAGCTATATAAATTTGGGGGAATGAATCAATCTGAAAATAATCTTTATAGTCAATCACCCTAAGGAGGGTTATGACTGTTAATTGGGGGAAGGGAGTACATTTTCCAATTAGCATATTGGTATATCATCAGTGTATTCAGGGGTTTTACTTTGGTTTCTTTTTTTTCTTTTTTTTTTTTTTTTAAAGATTTTATTTATTTATTTGTCAGAGAGAAAGGGGGAGAGAGAGTGAGCACAGGCAGACAGAATGGCAGGCAGAGGCAGAGGGAGAAGCAGGCTCCCCTCCAAGCAAGGAGCCCAATGTGGGACTCGATCCCAGGACGCTGGGATCATGACCTGAGCCGAAGGCAGCTGCTTAACCAACTGAGCCACCCAGGCGTCCCTTACTTTGGTTTCTTAATCTCACCTTTTGCTATCGTCTAAAATGACACAGTTTTTGACATTGTATCTATTTGGTGATTCTTGAATGTATTCTTAGTATTATTCCTGCATTTGTATGCTCTCTGCTTTGATAATCTGAGAGAGTGTACTATTTGGTAGCTAAGATTTATGACCGAGGGGGCCACCCCCCACTCTGTAGGAACAACCAGGGAAATTTACTTGTGGCCTAAGGCTAGTAGCTCAGGGCTTGAAATAGCTCAAGAACAAAAACTTCCTTTCTTTGGTGGAGTAAACATTTTGGTATCCCTGGTTCAAGATGTAGGATATAGAAACCAGGGTGATTTTGCTCATGTGTTCTTAGTTATGGCTATCCAGAATTATATTAGGAGCTTTAAAAATACAGATGACCATGCCTCCCCTCTACCAGTGCAGTCAATCTGAGAGTGGGACTTACTGGATAAGCTTCAAGTGCACAGTGTACAGCTGGAGTTGAGGACCACCCATGTACCTAGAGTAAGTTGGCACATCATTCTTTAATTTCGACCCTCATTGCCAACAAAGCATAGCAGTTCCCTCTACTGAACAGCTCTTGTGACTTAGAAACTTCCATCACATTTCACTGTGTTTGAGCTCATTCATGGAGATATTTTGTCTCGTCTTCACGTTTCTCTTTGCCCCTTCATAGATCCCCATTTAAAAACCGCAACTCTCTTTGTGGAGGGGCAATTATGGCCCTTATTTTTACTTACTTACTTACTTAATTTTACCTTTTTTAAGGTTGTGTGGAGGAAACTTGGAGATGCTGCAGGTTCCTGTCCTGGGATTAGGCAACATTTGTCTGGAAACCAGTACAAAGGACCGATGTGAAAGGCAGTCTTTCAAACAAGAGATCACCACTGCCAGAGAGAGATAAAAGAAGAAAAAAGTGGGTTTCCACAAACCTGGACTCATTGAATAACCTGGAGTGATTGTACATTGCACATATTTTCCCTCTAAACCCTTTATTACGCTGTATTTCATCTCTCATTTCCATGTCCACAGTAGCTCATCTCAAGTCAACTTCAGACAGCTTTGAAAATTACCATTTGGGTACCAGTATTTTCATTAGAACTAAAATGTTTTTGACTCCTCAGATCTAAGATTGTCACTGAGAAACCTGCATGACTGGAAGAATCCAGTTTGGTGGAGTTGACTCATCGCACAGAACGGTGGGACTTTTTGACCACACTGTGTTGAGGAAGAGGTGTCTTCCAGCTTTCCAAGTGTGATAGGCACCTGTTTCTTCTGTTATAGTCAACAAGTACGAATTCCTGATGCATAATGAATTTGGATGTAAGATAACGTTTCTGGGGTATTTGACTTTTGAGGTGCTAAAAATACTACATCAATTCTCTTTACCAGCTAGAAGCGTAGCAAGACTTTGTAGAGTGCTTATCAGAGAGTACCATTTATTTTAAGGGATCAGGATAAATATAGCTTTTCTTTTAATCTTGCTATATTCATGAAGACACATCTTGGGGATATACCAACTTCCATACTCGTTCAGTGTATCCATTGATGTTAATATTAATGCCAATTAAAGGACAAGCAAACATAATTTTTCTAAGTGTTTCCAGCTGTGAGATGTCAATTTCTACAATTTAGTTTCTAGATCTGCTGTTATATTTAATAAACTTTATGTAAACTTTAAAATATTGCACCGCATTTATGAAAAAGCTTTCTTTGCCTCCAGCAGCTAACAGTTTTATGAAACTGACGCATGTCCTTCATTGAGGCTAAAAGCTCTTGTTCAGATTGCTTGAGGTTTGAAAATGAGGTGTGCTAGCTTTGCTTAGTTTCTTATTTTTGGTATATATATAAATACACATAATATTAGACGGTGTGTATTGGAAATGCTCTGATAGGTATTGTGTTTTTTCAGATGCAATGATAGTTTCTTGTATGAATGTGCAAGAGGCCTGTGACAGAATGCTAAGTTTTTATTGTAGTTTACGATTATAAAAGTAGGAATGCAACAATTCCCAGTTTTTAGATTTCTTCTAAATTACTCAGATTGGCTTCATAGCAGATATTCATTGTTGCTGTTGTTTTTAAATGGACTCATTACAGTGTATTACTTGTTATTGGTGAAGAAATGTGAAGGAATTTCGTTATACTTCTTAAAATGTTACTGTGATGAAAAAACAGCCCTCTGTTTTCCGAAAATATTTATGAATTAATTTACTATAGAATTATCTAATTATTGTAATTGGGTTACCAGTTAAGCTCATCTTTCTTTTGAAATGTTATATTATTACTCTGTAAAAGAAAATTGCTTGCTATATTTACACCTTCTCTTGTAGAAAAGCTTTCATCCTTAAATTGTTGTATTCCTACGCTCTGAAGACATTTAAAACAAGTTTTTGTGCCTGCAGTAGACACTGCAGATAGCTAATACAAGGAACACTGGTCTTTTGACAAAATACTTGTGTAAATTTTGATACTGTATTAAAACTATTTTTTTAAAGTTCTGCATAAAATTGAGTATCAAGTATATGTGTTCATCTTAGCAATGGTAATAAATTATTTAATCTCAGTGTGTTTTTTTTTCCTTCAAAATGCTTTTCCTACATTGAGTAGATTTCTAATAGTCACTAAGTATCATCATGTTCCTGTATGAGAGTATTAACGATGGTAATATGGATGATTCATTATCTTAAATATAAAACAACTCTTTTAAAATATGTTCAAAATGAGGGATTTAACATTCAGGTTACTCAGTTCACACTGTTCTCTATTATAATGTAGTTAAAAATTTAGAATCGTATTTAAGAATATTTAAAAATCAGTGTTATAAAATCTTACTTGTTACAATTCACATAGATTGAATTGAATTCAATTATTGTTAAAACCATCGATAGGAGGAAATATACTAAGGGGAGATACTGCAGAGTAGAAAACTTGGTCTCAATCCTGAAGGAACATATACACCTATAAGACCAAGACCTAAATTGGCAAATGCACACACACACATGCTCCAAGAACACACCTACTCCTAGGAAACCACTGAGAAGACGGGAAAAGGCTTCCTACACTGAGCATTAGCCCCAACTTTAACTGACGTAATAGATAGTCCATGACCTGAATCTTGCTTTTACCTGATATGTTTATCAATAAAAATGTGTGGCATTCTGTGACCAGTTTATGATCTCCTCATTTTCTCTGGAACAAAGGTTAATTTATACATCTTGGCAGAATATTATTACCGGCCTTGAAGCTGACAGACAATCATAATCTAAGCTTTTCAAATGAATGCCTTTTACATTTTTACCATATGCTCAAGGCACAATAGAAAATTCAGAACTGATGTGACATCGAGTAATATATCACCAGATGTAAGTGTGCCATCATACATCACAATGGCTGGAGCCAACATAACGTATGCTTTACTAAGTCCAGCACTGAAGAAAGGCTTTTTGGACCAGCAAGTTCATCATTCGACTCTGTAATTAGTGCTATGAGTTCAAAGAACTTAACCTTGCTGAGACTCTGTGTCCTAAAATGCTGAAAAGAGAAAACATCTCATATCTTACATTGTTGTAAGGTTCTCTAGAGTCTCCATAGTTCCAAAGCTTATGGTCTTGACAGTCCACAAGGAGCAATGATGAGACCTCCAAGACATAGGAGCCTAGACCCATGAGCTGCGGCAATGTTATACCATTAGGCTAGGAGGGAACCACATCAACATGAAAGATCTATTAACCACATAAAGAGATTCTAGCTGCACGGTTCACACTTTCAAACTCTGTTTTCTGTAGATCATCCAGCCTATATAACCTCAGGCCTTATCCTGGCCAATCACAGATGGTCATGGTGGAAATGGGGAGAGAAAAGGGATAATGGTCTGATTCTCATAGGAATGATTAAGTCTGAAAAACAAAATTTCCACAACTACTTAATTCTGTATTTTTCATATCCCTGAAAACATTGAGAATAATGACTTTCACTTCAAAATGGTGGAATATCAGCAATAGCTCCCTCCTCTGGTCTTAAACTCCAAAAATGGTAGAAGAGTTATTTAATTTATAATCTCACAAGAACATAACAAATAGTGTATTCTGTGAACCAACAATTAAGATAAATTCTTGGCAAATGAAAGAAAATATCTAGCTGAAACAATGGATTCATTATTCCAAGTACATGATGGAAGGTATTGTTGATAAGAGAATGGCTGCAAGGGTACTCCAAATTAGGCAGACTTTGAACCTGCATCACATGGGCTTCTGGGGCAACTGACAGTAGCTAGGCATTTTGACTCCTGCATATAATCACTCCCTCCTTGGGTCAGAGAACAAAGGATAATTTCTCCTAGGTCGGAGCAGAGAAGCAGAGAGTAAGGATACTTGAATTGGAGGCACAGGGCAAAGTCTTCCGTTTGTTAAACAACGAGAAGAAAAGGACCCTCTGTGCCCAGATCATTAGGTACTGACACAGCCTGCCTAGAAGTTTGTCCCACTGTCGCCTACACTCAGGGTTAGGAATCTCCCAAACACAATATCCTGAGCCGTTTCTTTAAGCAAGTTGTGTGGTAAACAGCATGTTAATGAGGAAATATCCATACTAAGATGGGTATGCAACCAAGAATCACCCAATATTGGCGGGAAGCCATGACTATGAATCAAACACACAACTTAATGAAAATATACCAAGGAAAAGAATTAAAGTTAGGAGAATTTCACAACTATGACCAGTATTCTCAAAAAAAAGATAAATACTGCATTTATTATAATGAATTAATTTCACATCCTGAGAATGTTACCATGAAAAACTCAGTACATTGGCTGTACAGTAGAAAGGACACTGCTGAGAGCAATTCAGCAGGCTTGAAGCCAAGAAATTTTGCCAGAATTTAGATTTTAAAAGTCTGAAAGTTAAGAGAAATGGCTACTATTGTTCCCATAGTGCTTTCCCTTACTTCCTCTACCGTTTTCCTTCATTCTTCCATTCTTCTCTTCAGCTGTTCTTTAATTGCCTTTTTTTTAAGATTTTATTTATTTATTTAACAGAAAGAGCGAGCAAGAGAAGGACACAAGCAGGAGGAGTGGGCGAGGGAGAAGCAGGCTTCCCGCCAAGCAGGAAACCTGATATGGGGCTTAATCCCAGGACTCTGGGATCACGACCTGAGCCAAAGGCAGACACTTAATGACTGAGCCACCCAGGTGCCCTGCCTTATTTTAAGTTTTAATGTCATAAGGCTATCTGAAAACCTTTTGAAAGTAACAATAAAACATACAAGACGTATAGTCTCATTTCATTGAGATTTAAGAATGTCCCTTTAAAACACAAAATCCTCTTATTTTTATAGTAGGGTTTTTTATAGTTTCCATGCCTAAGTTATAATTCCATCTGGTCTCATTACCAAGAAGACTGTCCCTTTCCCATTCTAGGACCCTTAGTTTTCTAGATCCTGTTCTGAAGTGATAGCATACAATATACAACATCATAATGTCCATGGAAACAGATTCATATGCTAATCGGGAATGAAATTTATAGAAGCAGAAAGTATCTGAAATTGGCCTTTGATTCCATGGATTCGTTATTGGGTTTGGGCCAAGATGCATGAGCTTACAATGGCATTTCAGAGAGGCCTTATTTATTTTATTTATTTATTTGACAGAGGTCACAAGTAGGCAGAGAGGCAGGCGGAGAGAGAGGAGGAAGCAGGCTCCCTGCCGGGCACAGAGCCCGATGTGGGGCTCGATCCCAGGACCCTGGGATTATGACCTGAGCGGAAGGCAGAGGCTTTAACCCACTGAGCCACCCAGGCGTCCCCAGAGAGGCCTTATTTTTAAAAAAGAGTGTTTTCCCTTTGTAGTAATCTAGGTTAGATAGGAATGGGTTTCTGACAGACCAAGTTAACGGTATCTAAGGTATTTTTTTTTTTTTTAACCATCACCATTTCCCAGGCTCAGTCTAGCCCTTGTATTCAAACAATCAACACTCTGAT